GGAACTCTTCGAAAGAAGGTGAATTGACTAGTCGAGGTACCTATATGAAGGACTCATAGAAGTGGACAATAGTGTGGGTATTGACTGTAGAAATGGGGACGGGCTGGGCATAGGGGCAACAAACGGGGGGAAATGGTGGCAACAGTAACAGTATAAACAATAAAACATAAAAATATCACTATGAACACATGGATTTTTACTCTATTTGATATGATTGCTTCATTGCAGAATTTATTCTTTTCAATTAGTCATAGTTTCTGCATAAATTAAGAGAAGCATCTCTTAATTCCTTAATCTGCCAGCACCACCTGGCATATAGCAGGTGCCCTGTGGATATATCTGTATCTTCTCTTCTCCATGCACATGCATGTTCTGACCCCAAACCTCCCCAGATTAACTGAAGCTGGGATATAAGAGACTGACTAGAAAATTCAGTCAAATTTCATTTTTGTAGTCTTATATAGTACCTGGTATTATATGTAATTCCTAGTATTAAAAATATAAAGTATTGTCAATCAAAGGTTGTAGTTAGCTAGCTGGGAAAAGAGTTCTTTCTTTTCAGCTTTTACTAAAACATTTTCTTCCTCTATTAGTGGTAAAGACTGATGAAGGTAATCAAAGCATCCTTATAAATATCATATTCTTCATGGCTGAATTTATGTTGATTTTAGAATCTACTTTGAATTTTAAAAGTAAATAAACTAGAGTAGAAAAATAATTGTAAACTAATAGAGTTCTAATTTCTTGAATTCTGATTAGTTTATAGAACAACTACATACTCACTTCAATATGTAAAAGAAAGGTTCTCTTTTCAAAGACCTTATTAGCTGAGCAAATCCATCATGCATACAGAAATCACTAGAAAAATTTCATAAAGTTTTCCAGCCTATTTAGAATATATTGTAGCAAGTCAAAGAAAACAGAAGTATCTCTTCATGTTGAGGAGTCAGGGAAATTTCTTGGGTTTGTAGGATTGACAGGACTTCTCCCTAGGACCTGGAGAATTTAGGTAACCAAAATGGAAAGTGTAGCCTTTGTAAGACAAATGAGCAAGGGTTTGGATTTAGGTAGAAGCTCATTGACTGCCAACAAATATTAGCACATTTTATACAGCTATTTCTATTCCTACTCTACCTTTAAACAGGTCTTTCCTCCCCTCCACACAACACTACTATGAAAGTAGAATTTTCCAAATGAATAGGAAGGAAGACATTTTTCTCTATATATTAACTTGTCAGTTCTGGTAAGGACTTTTGGGTCCTAATTCATCCTGCCACAAAGGGTAGTAATTGTTGAATTATAACATTTAAGGAGTCAGCCTTTACTTTTTTTTTTTTCAACATACACCTTTTATATTTAGGTTCATTCCTCAAGAGCTTATGCATGCTAGGATCCCAAAGTTATTTTTCTAAAGTATGTTTTATTGATTATAGTGTTACAGTTGTCCCAATTTTGCTCCCTTCCACCTGGTACCCCACTTCCCTCCAGCAATCCCCACCCTTAGTTCATGTCCATGGGTCTTGCATATAAGTTCTTGGGCTCTTCCATTTCCTATAATATTCTTCACATATCGCTGTGTGTTTTCTACCTACCAATTTATGCTTCTTGATCCTTGTATCTTTTCCCTCATTCTCATCCTTCCCCCTCCCTGCTAATAACCCTCCCTGTATGTCCATTTCTATGATTCTGTTACTGTTTTAGTTGTTTGCTAAATTTGTTTATGTTGGGTTTTTTTTTAGATTCAGTTGTTGATAGCTGTGAGTTTGTTGTCATTTTACTGTTCATAGTTTTAATCTTCTTTTTCTTAAATAAGTCCCTTTAACATTTCATGTAATAATGGCTTGATAATGATGAATTCCTTTAGTTTTACCTTGTCTGGGAATCACTTATCTGTCTTTTCATTCTAAATGACAGCTTTGCTGGATAGAAAAGCAAGGTTTTAGGACCTTTCTTTTCATCATTTTGAATACTTATTGCCAATCCCTTCTTGCTTGCAAAGTTTCCTTTGAGAAATCAGCTGATAGTCTTAGTGACTTCTTTGTAGGTAGCTCTCCTTTTTTCTCTTGCTGCTTTAAAGATTCTCTCTTTATCTTACCTTTGGTATTTTAATTATGTGTCTCGTTGTTGCCCTCTTAGTGTCCAACTTGTTTGGGACTCTCTGTGCTTCCTGGAATTGTATGTCTATTTCCTTCACCAAATTAAAGAGATTTTCTTTCATTATTTTTTTTTCAAGTAAGTTTTCAATTTCTTGCTCTTCCTCTTTTCCTTCTGGCATTCCTATAATTCGGATGTTGACACATTAGGAGATACCCAAGAGTCTTCTAGTTGTCTCTTCTTTATTTTTTTTTTTAATTCTTGTTTCTTCATTCTGTACCAGTTTACTGTTTATTTCTTCCTTATGTTCTAAATTGTTGGTGTGAACCCGAGCTTCCTGTCCTACACTTTTGGTTCCCTGTGGATTTTCTTTATTTCACTTAGTGTAACCTCATTTCTTACCTTGTGCGTTTGTCATATGCACCGAGATCTCTAAGCATCCTTATCACCAGTGCTTTAAACTCTGCATGTGATAGGTTGGCTATCTCTGATTCACTTAGTTCTTTTTCTGGAATTTTTATCTGTCCTTTCATTTGGGCCATATTTCTTATCTCCTTAATTTGGCAGCTTCCCTGTGTTTGTTTCTGTGTATTGGATAGAGCTGCTTTGATTCCATCTTGGTGCACCTATAAAGGGTGGAACCTGACATTCGCCAGGGTGGGGCAATATGCTCTGCAGCTTTCTGGCTCTGTATGTAGGGGAGGGGCCTAAGAGGGAACAATGCCACTTGCTTGGCTCTTGTCCCATTTCCAGTCAATTCCACCACTTCCTGTATGCCACTGGCACCCTTCTAGCTGCTGCGCTGGTACTGAATCCCAGAGTGGGCAGGTTTGCGCATGTCCTGGGTCTGTGCAGTTCCTTTAAACAGACTCTCCTGAGGGACCAGCAGTTTATTCCGCTTCCTCAGTGCCCAGTGATTTTCATGGCCAGAAGTTATGAGGCTTTATTATCCTGGCACTGGAACCTTGGTCTGTGCAGTCTGGCCTCACTCCCCAGGTGTCCCTCCTGGTTTTTATCTGCCACAAGTGAATGTGGGACCACCTGTTCCACAGCCCACCATTGCTGCTGCTGCCTCACTGCTGCCCCCACACCACATTCTCTCCTCCCGGCTCCCCACCTCCGCCCCTCCTACCCGTCTGGATAAATGTTTCTTCTTTAAATCCTTGGTTGTCCAGCTTCCATACAGTTCAATTTTCTGGCAGTTCTGACTTATTTTGTTTTGAGATTAGCTGTGATCCTTCTTGTGGTTGTGCAAGGAGGTGAAGTGTGTCCACCTATGCCTCCATCTTGGCCGCAAGTCCAAGCCTTTACATTTTACCAAATAAGTTATGAAACAAAAATACTTAACTGGATTTTGAATGTTGTGGGGATATTAATGGGGTAGTTAGGGACTTTGGGAGATTTTATTTTAATTTAAATTTCTAAAAACAAAAAAATCTTCCTTTAGGTATTCGAAGAATCTTGAGAATTTAAACCTCCATTTGTAAGCTTCTCTTTGAAACTTGAAGAGAATTGGAGTCAGTATGTTTTTGCAATATAGGAAAGACTGTTGGTGTGACTCTAAAGTGCAGTGACAGTTGCAGGGTGCGTCCAACCAACAGCTCTGGGCAGAGACTTCCACTGTTCCTGCTCTGTCCTGCCCTCTTCCTGTTCCCCCAGTGTTAGCTTCTAGCATATACCAGGGATTTTATCTATTTAAATTGTTAGGTACAGTTTGTATTTTTATTTTTCTATAGATGAGAATGTAAATATTGTGACATTTTTAGAAAAACAGCCACCTGCTTGAAAGCTAAATTAAGGTGGTTTTTAAATTGTGTAGTTCTGAATTAAAATGATTTTTCTGTGTTAAATTTTTTTCCCCTTTTACTTTAGTTGACTTTTCTCCTAAGCAAAAGATCATCACTTCATCAATAATAGCAGCTCTGCTCTATCTTTAAAATGATCAGTTTATATTTGTTTTATTAATCTTCTTGATGAGAAGGATAGTAGAAAAGTGGTTATGGTTAATTTGCTGCTTTCACTATGGATGCTAAATGTGAAAGAAAAATATATTATTTAACCATAGGGGTTATTTCAGATCAATGTAGTTATTACAGCAGAGAGAGAACGTCCTTGTCAGGGAGGAGAAAGTAAGAATGGCCATGGGTCCTGAGAAAGGCAGTCCTATCCAGGTAACCATCAGATCAGGAGCTTGAAGTAGTAATGCATTAGGAAATTGGCCCAGTAGCAACCATAAGAAGCATTTACTTTGAGGTGCCAGCTTCAGGTCACATGATAAAGAGTATGGCACTCATTCTTGCAACAGTTACATCACAAGACGGTATTTACCAAGTCCTCAACATTGTCCTCAGACCATTCTGTGCATTGACTCAATCTGTACAACAACCTTAAAAAGAAACAAACAAGCCCCTTGGCCTGAGTTCACACTCATCCCTGTTGGAGCTGGCTTCTGTCCCAGTCTGGCTTCACAAGGCCACCCTGGCAAACCACTGCAGCATGGCTGGGACAAGAGTCAATGGCGCAGTGCATCTTCCTCTGTATCTTTACAGACTTTTCACCTGTAACAGGTGCATCACAGAATTACAAAGTATAGATGAGTAAATATCAGGAAAGAAGGAAAATAAGAGGTTTATTTCTTCTTAATGTTTGTTCTCCCTTGGGGAAAAAAAAGATTCTGGTTTCATACTACCCCCCCTCCCCCCCAAAAAAAGTACTACATATGGTTCTTCATGGCATGTGTGAGAAAACACTCCTTTCACACTACACTGACCAGATAGACTGGTACAGTGGGGTTTAATTACACTGTGGTTTTTATAGTGTACACAGTTTACAATAGTACATTTAATGGTTATTTAAGGATGACAATTTAAAAAAAAATACTGCATCTTAAATAAAGTAACACAAACCTTTGGGAATTGAGGTTAGTTTTGCCTCTGCAATTCTGATATGGAACACTGTCACCCCTTCAAATGCCCCTGGCTCAATCCCATTGCTGTCAAGAGGGTTTGCACTCATTTCTGTGGGGAGGGGAGGAATTACATAATTTAGCATATATATGTTTTACTAGAATGAAACTCACAATGCAGAGATACACATCCCAAACAACAGGAGAATTGTTTAGACTCATTTTTACTCTGTGTATCTGTTTCTGTGTTTATTCACCTTTCTGTCAGCCTTGGAAAAGACGACTTTGTATTTATAATCTGGAATATATAACAGGTTTACTGTTTTGCTTTGAATTATTAAATCAATAAATTATCACTCTCTTCCAACCATAAGTATGATCAAGGATTCATTGTAATATTACATTAGAAAAAAAGATTATTCTTCATATAATTCAAAATATTTGTAACTGCCAATTTTTATTAATTTGTTACCTAAACTTTTAAAATTATAAGTCAATTAGAAATTGTTACTTATTAACAGAAAGATAACTGAGGAAATGCCAGCAAGTCGTGCTGATCGAATTAAATAAGTGAATAAATGAATGAGAATATTGGTTAGGGATTTTGAATGGATGTTGTAGGGGGAGATGGCATGGTTATTCTATGAGTGTTAGAAGTAAAATGGGATGGAATTTAAAATATACAACAAAAGGATTTTTAACTCAATAATCTTAAAGCAGATAATGAAAAGTTAAATGTACATTCCAGACAATATGTGAATTAACTTTCTATGCTGTGTTTGAGTAGTTTGTACTACTACAATACATTAAAAATACTACCTTTAAATTTTATAATAACATTTTACCAATTAGGGGGCAGTCACAAAATACAAACCACACTAAATATTTAAGAGGGGAGTCTTAAGAGTTCATATGCGTGTGTATATTACAAAAGGCATCATAAATTTTAATATTTTAATTGATTTGTAAATGGTTTATCTCAATAAAGATTATTAAATTCAAAAAATTAATTTTGGGCCCTGGTTGGGTAGCTAAGTTGGTTGGAATGTCATCTTGTGCACCAAAAGATTGTGGGTTCAATCCCTGGTCGGGGCATGTTCCAGAGGCAACCAATTGATCTCTATCTCTCTCACCCCGCCCCCGTCCCCCTCTCCCCCCACTCTAAAATTAATAAGTGTATCATCAGGTGATGATTTTTTAAAATAATTAATTAATTTTGGAAATTATCAGTCTTAAAAGCTGTTAATGATAGTAAAAATCTCTACCTCTCTGTATTAATTATAATTTCTAAATGTCCTGTTTATTTGCAAAAACTTACCAAGAACGTGTAAAGCATTCATTCCTTTGAATGTTTCCTTTTGTATTTTCTTAACTTTATTATCATGAATTCTGAGTTCTGCTAATGATTTGGGGAGATTAAGTGGTATTTCATTTAGTTGATTGTGGGACAAGTATAGTCTTCTCAACTTTTTTGTTGTTAGAAAGGCTTTTGGGTGAATCTTTGTTAGCTTGTTGTTGTTCAGGATCAAAGCCTAGATGAAGCATAAAAAGTTACACCATATTAAGAAGCAAACTGGTTTACCAGTATTCTACAGCGATTAGTCACTCATGGAAATCAATGCAAGTTATATCATTTTGTATACTTGATTAATCATGTAAATAATTCCTCAGCCTAATCTAAACTAAAACACACATACACACACACACGCACGCACGCACATGCACACACACGCACACTACTGAGTTGGAGCAGTGCAAAGCTTTAATGATTGTTTTTGTGCCTTTGGTTTATCTTTGAGTAGGTGATGTGTTCACATGGTTGAGGCCCCACTCCTATTTCTACTACCCTTTATGGAAATGGTTGGTAGTATTATCTTTATCTAGCTTTAAAGTTTGTCCACTCTGCAAAATTAGTTTTAACCTCACTTTTTCCATGTTTTCTAATGTTTGCCATCTTTTCTAATATAGACCTCCCAAAATAAACTCCTACAAAGTACCCTCAGACATATTTAAAACATTGGGGAGACAGTGGTGAGACTTGAAAAATGACTCAACCCTCCTCACTTTCCTGGTTATTTCTCAGTGTGATGTGGCAGCACCTTTTAGAGGTGACAACAGGTCTGAGAGTGAAGGAACTTGTAGCAGCAGGCCTCTGCATCCTTGACAGCCACACCCTTTGTGCCCTGCTGAAAGGGTGCTAACTACCACATTCTTGGTCCCCTAGGATGTACAAACTTCAGAACCAAAACTGGGAATGTCCTTGGCAACCAGGACTTGTCAGTCACCCTAGTAATTATTTTCACTGCAAAATGAACATAGCTTAGTCCTTGTTTTACTGCCGGATTTTGCAAGAGTATTTCCCTGGCGTGATGGTAGGTGGCTTAGCATTCCTTAGACTTTTATCTCTCCCTACTAATCTAGATCCTCTCATTGTTTCAGGGAGCAGCTTTAGATTCATTGATTTTATGAATTTTGTCCCCAGTCCCATTCTACAGCAATCTTCCTCTTGTTCCCACACTGAGTTGATATGCTTTTCCAATGTTATTCATGTTGTTGTTATTACACAGAAGAAATACTAATAAATGCTTTGGCAATTAAACTTTCTTTATTATTATGTTAATCATTTCCCTGTAGGTACTTTGCTTCTCCCTTTTCTTGCCCTTCTTTCAGATATATCACTACTGTTAAATTTTTACCTGGGAAAAGTTAAGCCTAGGAGAAGAGATGAAACTACATTTAGTTACTACATTATAAAATATACTCCTTTCTGAATGTATAATACCAACTAAGAGTTCTTTTTTCCCTTGGTTATGCTGAAATATGAGGCCAGGGGACAGGGGTGGGGATGTAACAAATTGGTGAACCTTTCTCAGCTCCATGAGGTCAATTTAGCAAAAGAATTATTTCATTCCTTTTAGTAATGAGGAAATGGGCATGAGTGAAGAAAAGTGACTTGCCTCCTGCCAAACGCAGCCTCTCCACCCTCCACACTTTGCTCTTCCTTCTTTGTGCAGTTCCTGTGGGCTGCCTCTGTAAGGAGCCCCAGAGGGAATGTGTGCCTCAGTTAGATCCAACCATCATGCTTGGAGTTTTTGTCTTTTCCCCGTCTGATTAAGACATGCGGTTGTCAGAGCTTCATAAAAGGAAGTATAAGTAGTACAAAACTCAGGGGTAAGAGTTTTTACAGAAGTGCCATCAAATACTGACTCAGTAAGCGAGGTGAGCAGACTCTCTCCAGTTAAGCTGTACTTTTCAGTGCTTGCTTTTACATAAAAATTCCAAAAGTGGTAGTCAGAGAGCCCTAAATAATGTTGTTCTATATAAGGCCCACAGATGAGAAAAATATAACTTTTCAGGAGTAAGACAATATGATGAATGTGGTTTCGCATTCATCAATAATGGGCTGGAAGTGAACTGTGAATATATGTGTGTGTGATGATCTCCCTCATTCTCCAATGCTGTATTGTCCTTTGTTTAAGAACCACAATGCTAAACAAGCTGCTCAGGCTTAATATAGAGAATTTATAGATTATCTAAAAAACATTTTGATTCTCTTTAATGACAGGTAGTGATGATATAATTAAATAAATGTTTTTAATATACAATATGCCCACAATTCAAGTATAAAGTTTGTGCTTTAACATCTATTTTACATTAGGACATTAGCCAGTCTAGAAACACTAGGCTGTTTGGCAATAATAGTTAGTGGTTGCATGCTGGGCACTTCACATGTATTCACTCATCTAGTCTAAATAAGCATTCTGAGTTCCCTGCTATTACTACAGCCCTTTTACATCTAAAAAAGGTAGGGCTAAGAGAGGTGAGCTACCATACCAGTGCACTTCTGGTGAAGCCCAGATCTGAGCCAGGCCTGCCTGACTGTGTGATGCCACATAGAAATGGACTAAAAAGGAAATGAAGGAGGACTAAGACAGTTCCTGTCATCTTTTCCATTCTTATGTACCAACAATTAACAGGACTACATGTGGACTAAGTCCCTGTAATACCCCCAAAATGTAATAAATAATGATATGACAAATTAAAGACTTTTTTATGATTTTGGTATTAAATATGGCATTAATTATTCTTGTGGTTGTATAGCTGAATATAGATTGAAGAAGTGGTAAAAGCATTTATAGGCTGTATTTCCAACTTATGAAGGTAGAATAATGGCCATTCTCCAAAAGTTTCTGTGGTCTGAAGTGAATAGGGTGGACTGGATGGATCCTTGATGGGATCCATTGTGCTATTTATATTTCTGATAGTCTTAATATTTAGGTGAGGCCTTGGTTATGCAATAAGTATATACTCTCCCAGTTTCTTGTGTGTGTGTATGTGTGTATGTAGCTTAACAAAATCTGAGCTGTCTGCAGAGTACCTTTAAAAGGAAAGGGAGCAATCAGGGCCCCATGAGCACAGATGCCTGAAAGTGCAGAGAAGAGAATGGCTTTGTAGGGAAGCTGACTCAGCTCCCTGCAGGTGCCACCCCTTCCAGGCAAGTTTGGTATGAGGGCTGAGCTAGAGAGCATAGGAAAGAACATCCATCCTGGTGCCTACAGCATGATCAGCCTGACTGTCCTTGCTCAACCAACTGACATACAGTTACTGGTTTGCATGATGGGACTCAATAGTCCCCTTTTCCTGTCTGCTGGGATGGGTCAGTAGGGTCCATGCACTGACCCAAGGCAGGGTGGTCTCAAGACTTTTAGATACAGTAAGATAACAGGTCTACTTGGCTGGCCACAAGAAAAGTGGTCAGTGTCTCTATCTTCTCCCACTGGAGGTGACAGCTTTTGCATTTCTTCTCTCCAGCACAGCATGAGAATGTGGAGAATGGCTGAAAGAGCAGCATTGTCTGAACACCCACAGAGGAGAATAGATGGCACCCATGCCTCTAACAGTGTGGAATCAGGCTCTCCCTCAAGCTTAATTCCAAATTACATTAAGAACTTTACTTGCTAAAATCTAGTGGCTCAAAATGTTAAAAAGAAATAAAAATCTTTTAAATCTTAGAAAATTAAAATATTAATAAAAATAATAAGGAAAATTTATTTTCATCTTTAAAGGTCTAGAAAAAAGCCATACAAGTATATATTAGATAGATATATTCCATGTAAGACATTTGTAGTGCCTTAAGATAAATCACTTGGTTTGGGTACAGATTTTCTTAACACTGTAGGCTGAGTTCTTGTAAATAATCATCGTCTTACTCAATTAATTGTATAGCGACTGTGGTTACCTAAATACATCATAAGCTCATTTAAAGACCATTTACTTAATTTTTAGCCCACTGCTTTTCACCCGGCTGTTATTCAATAAACATCAGTTGAATTAAATTATTATTTGAATTAAATCTATAATTTTTTATTAACTAGAACACCCCTGAATAGCAGGTGTTTTGTCATTCTTTACGCACAGAAAAGACTTGTTTACATGAACACAATACAAGTAATTTTAAGCAGTGATAAGAGATTTTCACTTAAATATCTAAAAATATGAGCATATATTCTTACATAAAGTGAAGAGAGTCCTTTAAAATCATTTTCTTTGATTTCCTTAATTTTATTATTTTGAAGGTCAACCATTCGAGTATCAAGTGGAATGTTGCTTGGGACAGAGGACAAACCTGAGAAATAAACAAATATGTTACATATGCCTTATATGCTGAAGAGCGAATGCTAACATGTTAGCAGTGTGAATTTGTTAAAAATCCATGGTTATCATTAAGTAGTAGATGACTTAAAATGTAACACATGACAAAAGCATTGTTCTTTAAAAAGGCCTAAAGACCTTTTTCAGTAATTTATTTTTACAGGATGTCTAGCTGGGTCTAGCTGTCACTGTTCATCTGCTGCAGGTGGCATAAAACGGAAGTAAAGAGCAACATGGCAATTAGGACTGCCAAAAAGCAACCAAAAGCTGAAGCACAGCTTCTACTGATGCACTTTTGGCTGATGAACATTGAAGTTCTTTGCACATTTTCAGTCTGTCGTGGTACTAAATAGGAGCCTGTGGGCTTTGATCATTTTAAAAAGCCTCTCTATATAGAATATTTTGCTTAGAAAATAGGTGAATTACATATTTTCATACATATTATCAAAAATTTACTGCCCATTTTCTTTACTAATGAACTTCTCTAATAAGTTGTAAATTACTTGATTTGCAAAAACTTATTCAGCCATAAGTTATTATTGGTATCTAAGTGTGCAGCATAGCCTTACTGAATTCATCATCCACAGCATTAGTTCTTTTTCAGCCATATGCTCCAGTTTTAAGTTACCTGGGCCCACCTATTAGTCACCATTCCTCTTTGCAGGTACAAGAATAGCTTCCTTTTCTGTCACCTCAGATCAAGGTACAATTACATCTTCTTTGTGTAGGCATTCCATAAATATTAATTAAATTGTTTGAAAAGACTTAAGTGTATTTTTCCCTCTTGAATTAAAAAAAAAAAAAAGGCAGAAAATTACCAGGAGCTATACATGCTACATTTGTTCCTTGCTTTTTTTTCCCTTTCCTAGATGGCTGAACATGCCCATTCCTGCTTGTTGTCAGACTTTCCGTACAATAGTTAATGCTTGATGAGTATGGGCCTTGTTTTTCCCCAATATTTTATTGTTTAAATGTAACATACAGAAAAGCTTGAAGAATTTTACAGTGAAAACCCATATTCTCTTTCTACCATCATTTTACTATGCTATCCATTATTTCATCTTTTTTTTTAATGCATTTTAAAATGAGTTTCAGATATTGGCATACTTTTGGTGGATCCATCCTTACTCCTTAAGAGTAGTGTTATATTTAGTAGCCCAAAATGAAGAATTCTGTATCTAAATACTATGACAATCAATATTTCACTCTACAGCCATCCCTCCATACTTTAGGACTGACAACTCTTTTAAGAAATTTGATCATAGATAAATAAAGAAAAGGGGTTTAGTAGCTTGATGGGCTAACATAGTAACAGTTTTCTCGGATTATTTTGATTTTAGAAAATTATGTGGAAGGTCTTATAGGAAGCTGAAGTCCTATAACACAAATGGGCCTGGTAACAAACTTTGACAAAACTTCCCCCATCCTACCCTTGATGAAATTAGGTGCTCTGAAAAGAATTTCATTTTTCTTGGGGAGAAAAAGCTAGAAGTATTTAAACTTTTTCGTTGTCACTGGTCATATGGGAGGTACAGTATATGCTGCTAAGGGTGAGATATCATTTAAAGGTATGTGTCAATACAGATTTTGTTGCATTTTTATTTTATAAGCTAAATATTCAGGGGAACACAATATACAACCAGCTGTCTGTCATAAGATAGTTTGTTTTTTCTCAGTTTTTTCAGAACAGTCATGTACTGGAGCAGATCTATGTAACATTTCTCCAAAACCTTCGTATTGAGACAGATGACTTTGCACTGGAGCAAATATGAAGACTGTCACATGAGGAAGGCCTGTGCTAAAGACGTACCTCTCTTGACTCCCAACCGTGTACATCCAACTGTGTCAGAGTACATATGTACATTTTTGTCGTGATTTTAGTTTTACAAAGTAGTTTCACATATACCAACTCTGCAAACTGAAGTCAGAGTTGTTTCCTGCCTGGGAAGCAGCTTAGAAATTACAGTACATTCTGATATTTCCTAACTATAACCTTTTCTCATACCAAAGTCTGTCTCAGCATCCGCATTTCTCCTTCCTACTGCTCTTCTCACACTCACTCTCCATCGGCTTCCAGACTAGCTTTTCTCAGGTATTGCTTTATCTTATCTTTTTTATACACCAATGCCAAAGGTAAGGCTTAAAAGCCAATTTTTTCCTGACCTGTATATTACATTAACACTTTCCCACTGATTCTAGCTAATAATCTTTCCCTGAATGCTTTTTATTCATCTCTCTCATTTTGTCTCCAGAGTGGATTGTAACAAGCTTTGACTACTTGCGAGAAATGTGGTAGCAGTAGAAAGTGAGTCTAAAACTTTCAGAGGCACCATGTGCTCATATGCACTCTGGAAGTTACCGTGAGGGGCCTGCAGTTCTAGAATAGGAGGTATGTGCCAGACCTTGGCTTGCCGTAGTGTGGCAGATTTGAGTCATCCCCTCTTTTGGAAATAACAGAATACTGCAACTCTTGATGTAAATATTCATCACACCCTCTTTTTGAGCAGGCTATACATGTGCCCCTCTATTTGAAAACACCTTCAACAGAAATATTAAAGAATAAAATACTCAACAGAAAATTATACATTTTAAGAGATTTTAAAAAGTAATTTAGCTCAGCCACTTCTTTTGTAGACAGTTCTAAATTCAAATCACTTAAAACAAGTAAAGGATTCTCTTTAAAATATGTAGATGAGGGATTTCACAAGTCTATAACCTATTTTTAAAAAAAATTTTCAATGATCTCAAGAAGACAAACAACATGATTAAAAAATGGGCAAAGGACCTGAATGGACACTTCTCTAAAGAGGACATACAGATAACCAATAAACATATGAAAAAATGCTCAGAGCTACTAATCATCAGAGAGATGGATGCAAATTCAAACCACAATGAGATATCACCTCACACCTGCTGGAATGGATATCAATAAATCTATAACATATTCATTGTCCTGGACAGTTGATTAAATTAGTTATTGTAGAATTTTACTAGAAAGCACAATCGCAAACTGCTAGCACCCTAAGACAAAGAAACTACAGTAACATCCATTCTTACTGAAGGAAGTGAAAATTGAAGCACTTTGTTTCAAATTTGGGAAGAGAAAGAAATGTTCTATATATGAAATTCTCATTGTTGCCCTCTGATTTTTTTATCTTTAAAAACAATTTGGATGTACTTTGGAGTTTGTTATACTTTCCAAAAATTCAAATGAAATTTATTTTATAATCATTGAGTTGATTTTTGAAATTTCATTGAAGATTTGTCCTATTTTATCAGAATGATGTTATTCTCCAGAACAAGTTGACATGTTCTTACCTAGATCAGAACAGTGGACGACTCTTGAGTAGCATTGGCATCCAAATGGACATGTTGGAAACAGATCGAATGGGAAGAAGGGGTTAATTGACTCTCTGGTTGGAAAAAGAGAGTTGTCAGCATCACCATCACCATCACCTTCATCTTCCATGTCCTTCAGCATTATATTCTTCAGCATTATATATGAAGGGTGAAATAAAGGTTCGGCAGAGCACAAAGCTAAGAATACTAGGAGCACACACACCTTCATGTTGTCTTGTGTACAGGACCAATCTAAAACTTAATTAGACATTGAGGATTAAGTTAAGGGTTAAACATACAATTTCTGCAACTGTACACTTCTCAGAGCTGGTAAGAGTACAATGTAATGTCATTCTTATCTATTGCTATTGTGAGAGTAAATTTATAAAACAATTTGGAAAGCAATTCAGCAGTATGTACTGGAAGCTTTAAAAAGATCTTTGTTTCTCATCTAGCAATTAATTTTTAGAATCTAATCTCAGAAAATAATTCTAATGTGCATAAAGATGATCATCATAGAATTATGTACGATAGCAAAAAGGTAAAGGTAATGCTATGATTAAAGGAAAATAGTAAAATAGAGTATATTCATGAAATACTTTGTAACCCACGAGATACTTGCATAGGTGTTTAAAAAGAAAAATATTATTTTTTGAAATTAAAAACAAATACAAAAAATTCAGACATACCAAACAAACAAATCCCTGACACAAATATACCTAATTGATATAATCTCTGGGTGGTAGAACAATGAATGGCTTCTGGAGTCTTTTTTTTTTTCTTTTTTTTCTTTTTAAATAACCAGTAAGTACAGCTTTTGTAGTTAGGAAACTAATAAATGTTTTTAAAAATAAAACCAGATCATCATCATACCTGACTGTTCCAAAGCCCTTCCATTGCCTTAATATTTATGTCACTTTCAAAGTAAAATCTTCATATCCCCTTGGCACACATCTGGAAGTTTTCTTTAATGGGTATTTCTCCTACCATCCTCCCCAGCTTCAGTCTCAGAGTTGGTCATTTTTTCCACAGTGTCATTTGGATTTCTTCCTTTTAATCTGTTCCATTATCTAATACCTGAGGCAAAGCATCTGAGGTCCAGACTATTCTTTCTTACCCATCTTTCCACTGTATACTGTTTGTTTGGTTTTTAGGGGGAATTTGTTTTTAGTTGTATATTTTAAAGTCCACACAAAACTGGAATGTATGAGTGATAACCTTCTGAACATGACTTTGTTGTTAAGCTGATTGTGGATCTTCTCACAGGTTTGTTTACTTATCGTAGTTTCTTAACTATCACCTGTGAAACATATATTCTTTGTAATTTTCAAAAATTTAAAGCATTATGAAATCATCCAAAACAGATTTATGCCAGCCTTCCCTCACCCAGATGTCCCTCAGCCAAGTCACCCAGCAGTGCCACTGGCCTGCCATACGTAAGCACGAGACAGCACCTTAGCCATCAGTTGGCCCGTGCTTAGGAAGACATGGCCCCCAAATCCTTAAATCATGTAAGCTGCTTATAATTTCCCAGAACCCAGACATCAGCTTTAACATCTCTTTTTCTGGACTTAGGAATCAGAAATGAATTAACTAAACTAAAACACTCATTTATGTGTGTTATGTCTTTTAATCGCCAGAGGAAGTTTAATATTAGTTCTTAGAATTCTAAATGGCAACGTGAACATTTGGCCACCTGGATGGCCAGATGTCACCAGCCCAATACATGAGGTTTCCCTGTGATAAACTACATTCAATTATGCTAGGGAAGAGGAGATTATAGGACATGTCTGAGAATGGCAAAAGCTTTTTATATTTTATTAATTCTATTCTGAAATCCCACTACAGAACTCTGCTTTGGCTTGTGGAATTATCAATTAAGAATCTATTATAGATGCATCCCTTACATTAACCCAGAGGAATGGGATGTTCAAAGAGCTTCAGTGGTTTCCCTAAGTCCACATGACCAAAGAAAATTGGAACCCAAGTTAGAGTCCATTTTTCTCAATCCATTCTCTGCCTCTTCTGATGCAGCCCACATGGGAGCACTCTACTTTTATCCCAAAATCTAGCAGCCTCACAGGGACACTCTGTCATTTCTCTCCAGCCAGTCTACACATTGTCTCCTGGTCCACATCTATATAGAAAGGGACTCACACATAACTTGGGAGAGCAGGCATGGAAGTAGTTCTGTGGTCAGATTTGAATAGTATAGAGGGAGATTGTGCTAGCAACTCAAAGTCCAGCAGCTTCTGTCAGCCATCCCTGAGAACATGTAGATTGGTATTCTGTGTTCCTGGAATCCTGGCATGGGTGGCTGTTTAAGGTCAACAGGGTTTCTTTCCCGATATCACTTTGTCTCTGGCACATTGTTTCTTTTATCCATTATGTTTCTTGCGCTTCTTTGTGATTTCTTAATGCTTGGTCCCCAGTTTTTGTCTTGACCCCCAAAACTCTCAGCTAATTCAGTTCTTAGTCCTTAGCTGAACCAAAGCTTATCCCTGGTACCAATTTATTCTTTAACATTGTTCTGTATTTCAGCTATGTCTTCTGAGGCCATGACTGCCCTGGCCTTGTCTGACTTTGGCATAGAAGCTGTTGAATGAAATGTCATTTGAGATCCTGTCTCTGGCTTTGTTTGAGGTTGCTGGAGTTTTTCAGTCGACATCTATCAGGTACCCACTGTGTACCAGGCACGGTACTAGGATGTGGAATCTATAAAGTGGAGCATGTCTGGGCACTCTTCCTTAATCAAAAAACAAAGCCATAGCTCCTAATGTGCTATTCTCTTTGTAAAAGTTAATACTTGGTCAGGTAAATTCATAGAAAAACTAAAAAATAAGTGTCCAAGTTAGTAAATAGGCCTAAACTGCAAGTAGATTGTGCTAACTGTGGCTCGATCAGCTTGTCAGAATCTCCAGATGTGTGGTTCTCAGAATCTGAAAGTAAAATTTTCACCATAAGTCTGTCTACTCTTCATAACCTTCAGCTTACTCTTTGAGATCAATAGAAATGAAGACATCTATAAAATATGAGTATACACACATGTGAAAAAGAGATTGAAATAGAATTCACTCGTAATGGAATTACGAGTGAAGGAATGTGTTGCTTTCTAAATATTTAAATATTAGCCTGCCAACAAAATTTGCTTTGCTTTGCTCCTCCCTGTATTCTGGCCTTTTTCTACCATTTCTACAGCATGAAACATTTAGTGCAATTAAAAGTTTTACACATGCTGCCCCCACCCCAAACTCCAATAACAGTGCCCACTTGAGAAGTTGTTTAGGATCAGTTTCTTGAGGCCTAACCACATTTACTGTAATCCCTGGGAGATGAAGAGTTTGATAAAAACAAATAAACAAAAAAAACTGTTTTTGAGGTGGTTGGCTATTTAAGTTTTGGTATTTTCCTGTAAAAACTTAGGGTTATAGGGATTATAGTTTCCCAGTCTAGACCAGAAAAATCTGTTTAGCACTTATATATGTGAAATTCAGACTTAAGAAAAGCATAGAGCTTTTAAAAATACATATAAGAGGAATGTGTTAGCCAAAGTGGGGGAGGGAGAGGACAAAAATAGGTAGGCTTTTCCTGTGGCCTGGCAGACAGTGATTTGCCTTCACTTCTGTAAGCCCCACTTTCCTTCTGCTTCCTGCTGCAGTCATGTTGCCCTGTGACCTAGGAGAGCCTGGGAGTGGGGTGCAGACTAGGATAAGGAGCAGAGTAGGTATGACTAACATAGAGGAGCAGAGCTGGGAGGACCCAGACAAGCCAGTCACACAGATGAAGGAGAGGAAAGAAGCTGTGTGTATACGCGCGCGTGCCTGTGCGCAGGGTTGTTTCTCTTCCATATCCCCTCCTCCTGAGCAGCTCATCTCTGGGGTCAGGAGGGCCCTCCCTTTCTTTCTCCCTTCCACATTCTCCTTGCTTACACTACATATTTATGTGAGACCCTCCCTGCCTTAGATGAGGTGGAGACTATGGCCTGCTGATTAGACAGTGGCACATGTGTGGTAGTTAAGCTTTCCAGTTGATGGCTGGTGGGGGCAATCACCTGTCATGCCTTCCCTGGCCCTTGATGAGTGAGGGAGGAGACCTGTAGAAGCATGAAATGTCATCTAGTTGGAATTTCTTCTAGTGTTGGAGGTTCCTTCAGAACATTCTGGACCAGATAGCATGTTCATTCTCTGTTTGCTTGACTCCAGTGAGAGGAATCAGGGAGCATACCTTGTGGAAAGGCCTCCAGTTTCCATTGTCCTTCTTTGGTTGATTAGAAATTCTTTGTATGGAAACCAAACATGCCTTCTGGCATAGTCATCTCTCTTTACTAGTTCTGTGTTCTGTTAGCCATGTAAAATTAATCTTATATTTTTGTACTCTCATATTATGGTTACTTGAAAAGAGAAGTCAGGCACACCTTGATTCCACAAGAAACTCACCATTTACACCCTTGATCTGAGATGATAAAGCCTTGATAAAGTACAAATGATTATAGACCCCAAACCTTACCTTATTTTATTTCAGCAGTTTTTTTAATCAGTAGAAAAATATTGGAATGTCCAGGAGGGAATACTATATAGTAATGGGTTTTTCCCTATTTTCAGAAAGAATATAAAGAACAATATTTCTCATTTAAAATGATGTGACTTTTAGTTGTTTGCCTTATTTTACCTTTTGAGTTTATTAATACGGCTGAAGCTCTTACTTGATTAATTTTGGCAGTATTTAAGTCTAGGTCTCAGGAAGACTCAGCATTTTCCCAGTTTAGACCACTTTTGTGAGAGTTTTTTACTTATGGAAAGCTTTGGATTTTGGTTTCAAGTTTCTTTTAATCAGAATAATATCGAATAATATTTTCATATTAATGCTGTTTTTGATTGAATAATGACACATTGGAGACTTTCCTTTCATTGCCCTCTTTGACATCTTAAGAAGCTGAGGCCGGCCTCCTCACTCCTGCACTGTCCACTTTACTGCACGGCCTCCTCCAAGTCCTAATCCCACAGTGACTTCCAGATAGTAGCCAAATTGTCCTAAGAGAGCACAGGCTAAGAAGTTTGCTTGTGTTTTCAGGGCTGGAAATGTAGCTAAGAAGTGTCTTCTTGAATTTGCATAAGCTCCTGTTTTCCACTTCAACATTCCACAAACTTGGAATGGAAAATCTACCTAAGTGAAATGGTATTTCCTCTTAGGCACTATTATTAGGAAAATAAGTCACTGTACTTTTAAATCCCATGTTTGGCGATTTTTCCCGTTGGCTGAACAGTTCTATCATTTCTCAAGTGCCAGTAGTAATTTTCAGTATATAAATGTTATATAACATACTCTGTATTCACAGATGGAATCCAGACTAAATTCAAGTATAATCAAGGCACAGCCTTGTAAGTGAACAAGTAAGTTTAACATCCAAGCATGCTTTTGGAAACTTATTCACAGTACCTTTTGGTCATGGAAACTGATACTTTTATAGACTATAATTAACTTTATCTTAGAAGTATGAATAGCATCTCAATAAAGAACTTGCTGGCTGCTTTTCCTTTCATATCAGTTTTGTCCTTTATCATTTTTTCAATGTATCTAGCAACCTAGCTTCTGTCTTAAAAAGCAAAAACTCCTACCTGTTCATTTTTCTGCTGTTTCCTATAGTGCCTTAAGACTTGTGCTTATAAAAGTAATCTATTTTACCTCAAATCTCAGATCAGGTATCAAATATTCTTTTTAAATATTTTTAATAAGTAGTTGTAATAGAAGACTGCAGTCCCACCATCTGCCCACCACTATACAATATTGCTAAATGTCGAAAACAAACAGAGTATCAAGATACTTTCAACATATATTTGCACTTTTGATTTATTTTTATTTCTTTTTTTACACAGTGATTCTCAGTGGGATTAATTTTAAAAAGTATTTTGTTTTTAGAGACGTATAGAACCCTAAGGTTTCTTTGTAATTTAATTCTACCCATGTGCCCACAGTTCATAGCTGTCACACATCTTTTGGTTTAACAAGAAAGAACACGCTATTCAAATTAGGAAGGAGTAGAATATCAAATACATTGCTTAATTTTTTTTAATTTAATATTTAATAAAAATTTTACTTTGGGATGGGACAAAAGAAATCTTTTGTTTAAATTCAGACTTTATGGATTTTGTGAAAAAAAGTTCCTAATTTTTTATATTGAATATAGAGCTAGTTAAACTATTGCTGAGCATTATTCTTTCTTGGCATTATATGGCTTTCATTTTACTGTAAATGCCATTTCATTACATAAGAATAAGGAAGACTTTTATCAGGGAAAATATGAATATTCAAATGTAAGTAATAATGACATTTGAATAATTCATATATTTAAAAATATATTAGAAAATAATCATAGTTGTACATTTCAAAAGAATTATTTACTGTTTTATTTAATGTATTTGTGATATTCTCATACTTTCTTATCATTAATTATTAAGGTAGTATTATTTTCCTAAAGGAAGATACAAATGTTTGCTTAAATGATTTGTAAAGTCAGCCATATGAACATATGAACATTGTTGGTGAAGCATAATGACAGGCTTCCACTTAGCTGTAAAAACAGTCACAATTGAAAATAAATTCATTATATATAAAACATAAAAAGCTAGAGTAACTTTAGATATGTAATTAAGTACTGATTTTTAAAGAAATTATACAGATCAACTTTAAACTTTACCATATAATTTACAGTGATTTATGTAATAATATTAAAGTTCCCTTAGTATTAACTATAAAATAATTGTATACTGGTACATGTAAACATACCTTGCAAGAAGAGAGTAAGTCCTCTTGAAAGTAGAACTTTCCACCATATACTGCTTATCTGTAATGTAAATGTTCTCGGATACTATTTAAGAAGAAAAGATGAGGTGTTACAATTAAGAGGAAAGCACCCTTCAGCAGAGCCTTATGTGGCTTCACCCTGGGTGACACTGGAATAAGCTGCTTCCACAGATTAGCCCATGTTAGTACTGAGAAGCAAGATTAAAACTTGTTACTGCTCATGTGTTTTTCATCACTGTTTGTATTGTAGCCAAGACTTCTAGCTAAACTCTAGACCGTCTACTGGAAGATTCTGAAGAAAAAAAGTGTTTAATAATACATGGCAACTGGCCATTGAAAATACAGTGATAGTCATTCAAGAAATACCTGATTTGAAAGAGTACTTCATGAAATTCTTAAATGAATGAATGCTTATAAATTATAAATGTAAAAATTATTCACCTTATATAGACCAACAAAATATTTATCAATCTTTGTAAAGCATGTGAACATTATTGAAGTATGAACCCAAATTCCAGAAGTATCTGAGAAAAGAGCCATGCTGTTGTTTTCTTCTGGTGACTGAAGCTATTACATAAAGCATGCTTCTCAAGATTTTCTTTAAAAGCTTTTAGCGCTGCTCTAGGCATGCCAGGGGAGCTGCAGACCAGGCCCTATGTAATGCTCCAGGTCTCGGCCTGTTTGCTGTGATACAGGCATAGACACCTGGATCCAGGTGACACCTTTTTGGACTTTCCTTTTTCAAGAGAATATCAGCTGTGACCACACAGTTTTTAGGGAGGACTCAGGAGCAGAAAGACACCATTCTCTGAGAAGAAAGTCATTGTTAGCATATCTTTTCCCACTTACCCCAGAGAGAATGCCCAATTCTTACATCAAATAAGACATCATCTTTTGAGAGAGGACATTTTCCTAAGTCTAGTGAGAAAGACTGACTAGTGCTAGGTGATGCCAGTGGGTCTTCTGAGTTTCAGATTTGGGTGCCAGCCTCTTTGCAGAGTGCATTTCCAGTCAGTTAGCAGAGTTTGTCTCTCCTGCCATAAAGATTCTGCCTGTCCTTTCTCTCCTCCCAGGAAGTGACAGCCACAACCATAGAGAGATTACTGTGGCTCAAAGGTGTGGGGAGCCAGCCCCTACCTCAATAAAATACCCTTCCTTGGACCTCAAGGTGGACAGTTTCATACACTGGACCCAAGGAGCTGCGAACCTGCAGCACCTGAAGGGTAGTAGTTCTGTTTGGTTAGAATGCTCATATTCTTATTTATTAGGTTATGTTTAGTTCAAAACAAGGTACATGTGTTACCTTGATAAACTGGGACATCTTGAAAGTTGAACTAGATTTTATTAACCTGAGTTCCATGAGAGCAACAGCTGTAAATGGAAAGACCTTGGGAAAAATCGCATTTGTCCTGCCCAATGTTTTCTTTCATTTTTTAACTTTTAACTGAAGTATATATTACAAAAATATGAACACAGGAAGTGAGCTTTTTCTAAAGGTATGTTATACCCTCTTTCTCCTCACCCTACTTGTGAGCCCTGAATTTGTCTTTCTCCAGCATCAGTTAATTTTCACAAACTGAACCCTGAACAAGAAATCCCTGCACTCCCCGAGCCCTCTATATAATCACTTTCTTCAGAGGGGACCCCGCCTGGCACCATAGTTAATTTTCTGAACTTCACATAAATGGCTCATTCTTACTGTACATTCTCTTTGTGTCTGGCTTTCTTCATTCAGCCTTATGTTTTTGAGATCCATCTAGGTCCTTGTGCTTAACAATGATTTGTTCATTTTCATTATTGTATGGTATACTGTTAATGACTATGCCACAGATTATGTATTTTATATATAGTCAACTGGGTTCATTCCCATTGGTAGCACAGCTGTAAACATTCAAACATTCTTTATTGTCTGATGATGCTCATATGTGTGAACTTTTGTTAGGTGCAATTGCTGTATTTAAAAATTATGAGGTTAATATTGGAGAATTAGTTTTACTATATTAAGTAATATTGTTAGGAATCATGAATAACCAGCACATAATTACATGGTAAACAAGAAAATAAATTACAAAACTGAAAAAGTAATATGCTCTGTACTACCATTTTATGAACAGAGACATGGATTGCTATAAAATGGACTTCAACACGAATTTCTTGCATGGCTCAATATATTCCAGCCATGTAAAGATAAAAATAAATTGCTTAAGCCAAGCTCACATATACTTTCCAAGACCCTTTCCTGACTACCTCCTACTTTAGAAATGGAGTGGTCCAAACCCAAACAAGTGAGAAATATCTTAGAAATCATCTTGTTCAAATTAAGAATCCTATGAGTAAGGATTAGGAGTGACTGGCCACATGCAATGCCTTTCCGAGCTCAGGTACCACTCAGGTGATTAAGTTTGTGGTGTTCAGCATCCAGTATCTGGTGCCTCGTCTCTTTTTTTGCACTCACCATATAAGTACATTGGAACAGATTATATAATGATCTCAGGTAGCAGTAGCTACGAGGAATCTGTTGGGCCATCCTTTCATTCAATGAGTGGTATAAGTGCTATGGAGAAAAGCAAGTTTGGGGGGTGAGGGTAATCAGTCATCAGAGAAGCCCTGAGGGTTGTGTGGGAAAGTGCCTTGCAAAGAAATACCTAGTTTAAGAATGTCCTAGGCCATTGAGTCCTAGGATATAAATGATGTATGTTCTTTATGCATAACATAAAGGTTGTATATAGTAGGCATTCACGAGACTTCTGAAACGAATGGATGGTTATGATTTCATGGTTTTGAATGTTCAGGTGACCCTGGTAGAAGACTGCGTTCTATGGTTTATAATGAATTTCCTATATACTGTAGGTCATGACCCATGGGCAGTAGTCAGCTTGTAGATGTGTTTTGTATGGAGCATATGGTATTTTTTAAAAACCAGGACATTTTATATCAAATCCAAATTTACAGAAAATCTTTAAAAATCAGTCTGACAAAGTCAGCTCTTAATTCTTGTGCAATTCCAGCAATTGCCCGAACTCATAGCGAGCTCCTTAAAATGGGCTCCTGATCCCTGGTTTTTGGCTTTCTCTCCCTTCTCTACCCCATTTGCTGTTGAGGACTTACTTCTGTGATACACAGGCTGAGGGAGATTTCTCTCTGAAAATAAATTTATGCCATAAATTGTCATTTTAAATGAATTAAGTTTATGAAAAACAAAGGACTTACACAGTTTATAATATTGTGTGAGTGTCAAATATTTTTTAAATAATGCCTCAAAAGTCAATTTGTTTTGAAAAATAGGTACAAGTAATGATTTTGTTTTAAATCAATTTCCCAGTATTTCCCACTGAAAAGACTTCAAAACAGAGAGTTCATCTAACTTCCAGATAGGTGTTTTTAGGGACCGTTTCGCACTTTAGGTACCAGGTCAGGGCCAGGAAAGTATGAGGTGTGCCTGAAACATCTTGTTGTTCCAACAGTCATGGGAGTGTATAGAAATTACTGTGGACATGTGAATAGAACATAGAAACCCACATGAAAGTAGCTTGAGCACTTTAGAAAGAATAAGGGTGGAAATGGATTATATCATGCATCAAATGTAAAATCTGTTCTATATAGTAACAGTGGAAAGAGTGTCAAAAGAGTAAGAGCCTCTCCTATAGAAGAGTGCCAGCTAATGAGTACAGAAGGAATCTTAGAGTTAGAAAAGCATGACTGTGAAGCCTCCAATATAGTGACTGATTTAGGCAAATCAGTTACTATATCCTGATTTAGGATAAAATCTTCCATTATCTAAGTAAAAGATTATTGGATGGCAAAATATTTATGCAAGATTCAAAATCTTACCTTGCAGCCCTAGCTGGTGTTGATCAGTTGGTTGGAGCATAATCCTATACACCATAAGGTTGCAGGTTCAGTCCCCAGCCAGGGCACATACCTAGGTTGCGGCAACTGATCTATTTATCTTTCTCACTCTCACATCAATGTTTCTCTCTCTTTCTCTCCACCCCCAACCGCCTGCCCCTCTACCTGTCTCTCAAATCAATAAATATATACTTGGGTGAGAATGTTTTAAAAAGTGAGATTCATAGAGAAGATTCATGGGTAAGTGATGTGTTATACTATCTGCAACTTACATTGCAATGGACTGTTCTCTGCAAATAACCTCAGTTCTTGAACATCTTGGTTCTCAAACAGTTTGGTTCTCAACCAAGTTGTTCACAGGAAAAATGTCTTCATTGCCTAACAGAACTTTGAGTCTAAATTCTCTCTACTCCACAACCATGTCATGCTGATATCTTTATGATCTGTTACATGTCTCTCAGGCAACAAACAAATGAGATTCAGTTTTTGAACAAATTGCTCCTCGAACAGTTTTCCAGAACAAATTAAGTTCAAGAACCAAGATTCCAGTGTGTGTGTGTGTGTGTGTGTGTAGATATGGACATGGGAAGAAAGATAAAATGAATGTGAAAAAATATTAATTGGTAAAGGTAGATGAAGAGCATATAGATTTTCATTGTATTCTTTTAACTTTTCTATGGCCTTAAAGTGTTTCTAAATAAATGTGGGAATAAATGCCAAGTGAGGGAAACAAAGCCATTTGCCTTAATTTTAACTTTTTGATTTATCTTTAACTCTAGTTAAATATTTACATGTAAAATTTATTTCAAGTTAATTAAGGAGTTACCCTAGGAGGCATTCTTAACCTAGGTTACATAAATCCCTAGAGGATTTTGGAAAAGTTAAATGAATCTCTTGATACATGCAAAGTGTTTTTACATGTGTTTTTTTCTGTACAGAAGGTTCATCATAGTTTTCATCATATCTTCAAAGGGGTTTATCCTTCATATAGTTAAGAACTATGGCCCTATAATAGATTTACAATTTACAGTGCATTCTTTATTTAGAGTATCACAATACTAGTTACATTTGTATATCAGACAGTATGTGTATAAATTTGGTAATTATGAATGTAATCTCAACTTAAAACAAATGAACGTCCATCAGATTCTAGCTTACAAAAAGATTTGCTTGTATCAGCTGATAGTTTAATGTAAGTTTATTTGACCACAGAGATTCTGTTACTTAGGAACACACAATGACATTTTAATAACATGATATATTTCTTCTTCAAGCTAATATGTATTTAGTGCAATCAAGTGTTATTTTTAATACAATCTACTTTCCCTTGTGTGGACTTCACATTTTGTGCAAAATAAAAAATATTCCAGACTGTAA